AGAACATAAAGCAGCCCCCACCTTCTGGGAGCTGGAAAGAGTGCTGAGAACATAAAGCAGCCCCCACCCTCTGGGAGCTGGTGTGGTAGCATCAGGCACAGGGGTCCAGTCTTTGCATGGCCAGATCAGGACAGCTGGTGAGAGAAGCCATGAAAGGGCTCCACTGCGAGGGAGAGTAACGCTGGGGGACTGCCCATGCCATCAAGAAAGGGAAGCTGTGGCGGGAGCAGGGTTTAGAAAAAAGTTTGCTTTTAGATAAAGCACATGATGTATCACAAAGGCAGCTTGAGAAAGGAGACTGTAGGAGAGCCATGTGGCCTCTGGGAAGGAAGACAGAATGCCTGGGCATACCATCACAACATGTGGCAGAGAGAGAGAGAGAGAGAGAGAGAGAGAGAGAGAGAGAGAGAGAGAGAAACAGAGACAGAGAGGAGCAAGGGGAGGGGAGAGAGGAGCGAGGGGAGGGGAGAGAGGGAGAGAGAGAGAAAGCATGCTTTCCATGGCAGAGAAAACTGCAAAGGACTGAGGCCAGACAGACAGGGAAAACTATGGGAACACAGAAGGGAAAGGAACCCCCACTTCAGAGTCTGACTGAAGCTTCCTGCTAGCCAAGAAGCAAGATTTCCAGTGCAATTAGCATCTGCTGTGAGGGCTGTTTACAGAGATATATTCCTTTTGTATGTAGGTATCATTTTATTAAAATAGCAATGAACCAGGATTAAGGCCTGAATGTACTTGATCTGAGGCCTCACCCCTCTCCCATTTTCTGGGAATCTCAAGACTATTAACTTGATATCCAGGGATCACTACCTTTCCTGCATCCCTGTGATGCAACTTTACCTTATCAACTATAAACCTGTTAGGTGACCCTCAGGAACCACCCAGTGCTCCCACTTGGGTTCCTTAACAACCTTTTGAAGATAATAGCTTCACAACCCACCACAGGTATATACAGCTATCATAGAGACCATGGAAAGTGACTCTCCATTAAAAAGCCCACATCCACACTCTCGGGTCTGTCACTTTCTTCCTGAGCACCTCCCTTGTTTTTAACTCTGTTAAAAATGTCTTTTAATAAACTCCAACTCTGCTTTATACTGACTTATCCTGAAACTCTTCTGTGTCGAAGCCAAGGCTCAATTTCACCTGAGTCAAGTCCCTAAAACATTAAGAACACAGGCTGTTTTGTGTGACAGTGACAGCTCTGCCTGTCTACTGCCACCTCTACCAGCAGACAGTCCCCCAGAGCAATGAGTATCAAATAAAGGGGAGGGATCGGTGGGTGCAAAGGGAAGGCAGCATCTGGAGGAAATGAAGTCTCCACACTTGGAACCCTCTGATTCTGATGTTATGAAAATGGAGTTCCATACATCGGGAGGGCCACCTATCCAACACTAAAGAAATCTAAAATCAGAAAGCCAGCAGTGCTTAGCTGTGAGCTTTCTCAAGAACACTTTGGTAAAAGGATGAGTGTCATAGACTGTATTCATACTTCGCATGAAATGAGCACAGGTCACTGCCAGAGGCAACAACATCAAAGGGAAGCCAGAGCCCTTGAAAGAAAGGGTTACTCTTTCTTCACATGGAAATACCCATTATCTTTGAACAGTAAATGACTGCAGGTCATAAAAGGTTGCACTCATTACATTATCAAGCAACCTCTACTTTTTTCTTATTTCTCTTTCAAGAATCAATATATATACATATACAGACAGACATACACACACATATTTTTTTCACAACACAAATTATTTCTCAAACAATGACCAGAATGTATGACAGGGGTCTCACAGGTTATGATGAAACTTGAAAGTTCCTACTATATAGATTTTTACTGTACCTTTTCTATGGCTGGATACACAAATACCACTAGGTCACAACCGTCTACAGGATACAGTAGGGTAACGTGCTGTATAAGTTTGTAGCCTGGGGTCATAGGCCCCATAACATAGGTGTGCAGTAAGCTGCACGAGGTGTTTCTGTAAGTGCACGATCATCTAATGAAGCATTTCTCACAATATATTCCAATCATTAATACAGTTCTGTATAAAGATTACATAGATAGATGATAGATGATAGATAGATAGATAGATAGATAGATAGATAGATACTAGGTAGGTAGATGATAGATAGATAGATAGATAGATATAGATGATGATGATACAGATAGATAGATGATATAGATGATAGATGATATAGATGATTGATAGATAGATAGATAGATAGATAGATAGATAGATAAGATAGAGATCCCCACACGAAGGCAGAAGACAGTAGGAAAGGAAGATAGATAGATGGATAGATAGATGATAGATGATGGATGGATGGATGGATGGATGATAGATAGATGGATGATAGATGGGTGACAGATGGGTGACAGATGGGTGATAGATGGGTGATAGATGGGTGATAAATGGATGACAAATGGATGATAGATGGATGGATATATGCAAAACTAGAAACATTTAACTTCTTTACAATTCTAAATAAGTTTCCTCCTCCTGTCCTTTCTTCTATCACACATTTCATACACACCCTTTGCTTTGCCTGCCCAAACAGAACTCATTGAGAGTGATGCAGTGTCAGTGCCTACACCCCAGGCCTAAGAAACTGACTTTCAACTTCCTGTGTCTTGGGGCATTGCCATTGGCCCCCAGCCACCATGCTATACAGAATCCCATCCTGTCTGTGGAGAGACCAGCAGCAGGCAGCAACTTGCCAACCAGTAACCAGGATGGCTTGGGAGCAGATCCTAGCAGCTGATGCTACATGGAGCAAAGATGAGCTGCCAGATGAACTCTGCCCAAATTGGAGATCCCTATGCCAAATAAATGATTGTTGTTTTAAGACACTAAGTTCTGGGGTAATTTGCTATGTAGCAACAGCAAGCATGAGGTCCACCTCATGATGTCACTGAAAGGATTAAGTATATTAATATGTGAAGCACTCAGAAAGTAAGCACTATAAACATTTTAGTCATCATTACTGACCTACAGTACCTAGTAAAGTAGCCACTAGCCACATGAAGCTGCTTAAATGTGAATCTAAGTCAACTGAACTTAGTTAAAATTTTCTGCTTTGCAGTTGCATTAGCCACATCTCAAGTGTTCGCCAGCCACATGTGCCTGTTTGCTGACATCCTGGATGGCCAGGCCAGGTAAAGAACATTTCTGTCATCCCAGAAAATTCTGTTTGGTAAGTAATGTTAGAGACTTACAAGGAAGAGCTACAACAACAAAGTGCTGGTGGGAGAATCTACTGCGATCTACATAAATAATTCAATGAAAGTAACTTTTAGCTAATACAGTAACTATTAATAGTTAAGTAATAATGAATAATGCCAGAAGCACTTAATTTATGTAAGTTTAGCTTTCTTTCAATTAACACTAATAAATTACCTCAAAACAAGTTTCAGGAGGTAATGGTGGATGGATATTTATTAAAAAAATACATTGTATGAAAATTTCTAAGAATTAAAAATATTAAGAAACACCTCCAACTGGATTATGTATGTATTATGAATAAATCATCTATTGAATCCCAAGGTTGCCACAGCATTATTTATATAGCTCAAATAATAGCAACACCTACATGTTTGACTGTGGGATGTCTATCATTCAATGGAATAATATGCACCAGGTTAAGTACTCACAGTCAGTCAATGTCTTACATTTAATACAATCTTAGTAAAATGCAAAAAAAGAAAATACATTGAAGAATAAGTATGTATAGACTAAGTGATTCTGATGAGATTAGATTCTATTTTCCATGTTTTTCTGTCATTTTCCAAAATTACTACATATTCCTTTTGTACCAAGGTGGGAAGTAATTATAAAAATAAAGTTATCAAAATCCTTCATAGATGATCCTAACTTCAAAA